TATATATGTATATATATATATATATATATATATATATATATATATATATATGTGTATATATATATATATATATATATATATATATATATATATATATATATATATATATATATATATACACACACACACACATGTTGATTATATATTGTAATTTCAACAAATAAATGGTAACTCCAGGCTCTTGGTTTTATCACATTGTTATATTGCATATAATGAACAGGGTACAATGACTATAAGAGGTGAAATGAAACAAGACATAACTTTCAGTGCAAATCTTTATTTACAACTGACTAAAAGAATTAGATACATATGGACTTTGTCTGTTTCTACTGCAAACAATTTATTTTTTTTCATTTTATTCATATTGTATTCTTTTCTAAGTCATTTTCGATGTAATACCACTGCAGGGGTAAATTCTTTTGCACTATAAAGTACTAAACCTCTGAAGGAAACTAAGGTCTCTCAGGGGCTATTATGTTTTGTATGGTGCTATCAGTACTTCAAAAAATTATAGAAATAAAATTGACAGTATACTTTATATAAAGAATTTGACCACTTAGAATAGATTTATCATTTTGGTTCCATCTAAAAGGTTGCAGGGACTGATACATGGGCTGACCAATATAGATGAGCATGCCACTCTCATAATTGTCTGCATGACAGTATTAAAACCCATTGCATCTATAATTAAATTTCTAATGCATGGCAAGCCCTCACAATGACTGAAAATATATAATTTACCCTTTGAATTATCTTACAAAAATATTACTGTTCAAGTAGAAGCCAGGCCTCCATGATTTTATTTCAGTTTCATTTCATTTTTTTTTAATTTTATGAAATTTCACCATTGGACCTTGTGATACTATAACTGGGTCTTCTGAAATTATAATTCAGATCCTCCATTTCCTAAACACAGAATTCCTTGGCTGAAGAAAATTAATTTGCTAAGATACTGAATATTTTCAAGATGCCTCTAAACTGTCAGAGAACATCATCTTGAACATAATTTTGTCAGGTTATAAAGCCTACCCACATAGCAGAAATCCACTTGATTTTTCAGTAAAGTGTCACTGGGTATTTACACTACAAAATGAGTGAGTAACTTCTGGTGTGTCTAAGGACCTTGTAGATATTAATAGACTATATAGAAAATTGTTATAATTATTCATCATCATTATTATTATTATTTGGGGGGGTTGTGCATTATGTTAGTTGCAAGGATTCATTTGATTAGGCCCAAATTATACTTCAAGAAACTGAAAAAAGTACCTCTGACTAACTTGCCTTAATATTTTCAAAACATTACTTCATGTGAAAATTACAGGATGAAAAAAAAAAGCAAAAAACAGGATGGAACAGAAGAAAACACCCAAAGATTTTAGGAAATCTATATTTGTATTACAATATGTTGAACATATATGAAGGTATTCTTAGGAGTACCAAAAGCAATGAGCATACATACAGTAATGTACATGATAAAATGAAAACTTTAAAATACTACATGTCTACGTGATTGCACATATTGCAACAGTATAAAGAATACTCTGTTTACTTGTATATACACAACTGGTGATTTTGATGAGGTTTTTTGCAAATGAACCTAAATCCAATTATCACATGGTATCAAAGGCACTTCAAATAAAGTAAAAAAGCATTTACAGCCACAACTAATATGCAAAAAGTTACTCTATTTTACCTTCCTGCTCTTTGTTACACTACCTATTTGTTTATACAGATTTGCTATTGAAAATAAAGTTCGAACTCTGAACACAGGGTTAGGGGAAACCTGACTATATTGATTTGTTTTGCATCTTGTACATTTGAAACCGGTCGTCATATGATTCTGTCTGCGGTTGCGTCATAGAGAGAAAAAAATGAGGAAAACAAACCAACAGCAATGTGAATTATTTGAATTATTTGTGTTTCCTGCTGCAAGTAACAAACACAACAAGCAACAATCAAATGATCAAGACAAACCAAAACATGCTGTCATGGACATCACACCTTTATCATGTGCGTTGGGTGGATGGGGACAGGGGCAGGGGAATTACCTACATAACGTACATTTTCACAAATCAAAACGATGAAATGCTTTATGCCAGTTTATCAGCATTACACAGTCTATTAAGTACTTCCACAATATGAACCTCTTCATAATCTAAGTTGCATACAAATAACATCTTTAATAAATAGTTTTATCTCAATAAAGTGAATTTAGCTACCTCAAAAAAATATTTTCCATACTGAACAGGTAATATAATACTGAGTTTTCTTCAGATCTTAAATTTCTCAAATATTCCTATTGGCATGAATATTATTACAGATCAACACCAATAACTACAAACAAGTAAAAAAATACAATTGCTAATATAGCTCACTTATGCTTAACATGCTTTATTTTTCATACAATATGCTGAAAGTCATCAAGTGTTGTCCTGCCATGAGAAATGTTTCTATATATGTAGAAGATATGAATGGCACTTGTAAAAATGTAATTCTT